TTGTTATGTAAACAAAGACAGTAGTTGCTACTTTTGGCCTGTCATGTTGGCTCTCTTCTTATTTTGATTATGTAAATTTGGGATTTTTTTATAGCTGGAAAGAGAACTTACATATGAGAAGCTGAAAGCTTGGATCAGTCCTGCAATGATGAACTCAATGGAGGTGAGGGTGTCTTTACCCAGATTTAAGCTGGAAGAAAATTATGACCTGAAACCCATTCTGAGCAGCATGGGAATGCCTGATGCATTTGACTTGGGGAAGGCAGACTTCTCGGGAATCTCATCTGGCAACGAGCTGGTGCTCTCTGAAGTGGTTCACAAGTCCTTTGTGGAAGTCAACGAAGAAGGCACTGAAGCAGCTGCTGCCACAGCAGGACTTGTCTCAAATTACTTCAGAAAGATTCCGGATTTCACTGCTGATCATCCCTTCCTCTTCTTCATCCGTCACAACAAATCTTCCAGCATTTTGTTCTGTGGCAGGTTTTGCTCTCCTGAGAAGGCTGGAGCACATTTTTAGCTACACTCCCCTTTCTTCTTCCAATCTCATCCATTTAGTGCCTTGCCCTAGAGGTGAAAGGAGTCTTTGGCCTCCTGTTCCAGGTGTTGCTGAACTCACTGCCTAGATGGGCTTTTGGCTAATAACTGGAAAGGACTTAGGCAGGAATGGGAATGAAAGTATGTTTTTGTACCAGATGCCCTAATGGGGTGTTAGTGGGGTGAGAACCTCAGTTTCATCACCACAGGACAGCTGGGTTTATTACCTGTCTCCTGGTTCTAGTCCTTTAACAATGAATGTAATTAATTGTATGACACCAATGATAGAGCTGAAACAGTTTTCCTGAGAGAGGGCTGTGTTTTGTGCTTTCTGTTTCTGAAATAATAAAAGCACTATAGGACTCTTTTCCTTTTTTTTCAACCATAAATTGTGCATTTTTTAAAAATCAGTTGTATGAATAAGAAAACCCCGCTTGTTCCTTGATAGAGTATTACTAGCTTCTATGTAACTTGTTTTGTATTCATTGTTAAACATGAGATTTTCTGCATTTTTAAACCTGAGGTGATTCATGGGGTTGCCTTGGAAGGCTTTCTGGCAAAGGGTTCCCTAGGCAATTGGTTGTTTCTGGGCAGGAGTGCAAGGCTGCCTCTCGGTTTTTTGCACAGTTTCAAATCATGGCTCGGTGATTTTCATCCAAAAGGATGGCCCTGCCCTTAATTCAGTGCACCATAACCCAGCTGTCTCAGATGAAGAAAGTAAAAGTATTATTCTAAGAGGAGGGCAGTGACACTGAACAGTTTCGTCACCTGGACACATGTCATGCACTCCAGTTTAAGGGCTGGTGCTGTGCACCCGAAACCAACACGGGCATTGTGTGTTCTGGTGGCCAGACCGAGGGCTGCTGAAGAACAAAGATCGCAATAAGCCAGAGAAAACCCTCCATGCTTTTAATTTCTTTAATATCGGGTTAAAAAAGCGCCACAAAACAAAACAAACAAAAACCCAAGGATGACTGACCTAAAATTTTGAGCGTAAATAGAGAGGCAGGGTGGGAAGACAGAGACGCGTTGCTCTGGGCGGCGGCAGCGGTGCGCTTGTCCCACAGGGCTAAAATCCCCTCGATCCTGTACCGGCTCTCGCAGGAGAGGTTTGTTGGTTATTCCCCATCCCGAAGCTCCCCCTTTCCTCCTCCGAGACATCCAAGCCTCCCCTGTGTGCAGCGGGACGGGCGCGGCCGTGGGGTAACTCCTGCGGCCCCGCCTCTCGCTCCGCCCCGGCCCCGGCGGGGTCCCCGCGGATGTCCCTGCGGTGTCACTGCGAGGCTCGGCTCCTTCCGATCCATCCTATCCCGCTGCGCTCTCTCCGCCCCGGCAGGTAGGCGGCCAGCCGGCCCTTAGCTGCGCCACGGGGCTCCCTCCGTCCCCGGGGCACCCGGGGCATCCCACAGGAAAGAGGCGGTAACGGGTCGAGACCAGGAGATTCTTCCTCTCCGCTCCCGTAGCGGAGGGGACCGCGCGGGGTGGGGGACGCTTCTCGGGCAGCCTGGGTGGGGGCTGCAAAACAGCTGGTTTGGGTGAAAGGCTTGCGCGGAGCGGAGGTGTAAGTAAACGAAAGTGAAAGTACGCTTTGGGTTCGTATAATTTTAGAGATGTTAGTGGGCGTTCTTTAGCATAGAGCTCGATAAGAACGTTGCAGAGCTACCGGCTGTTTATCCGTCTGTCGGAGGAAGCCGATAGTGGTATTCTGCAATTCCTGTAGAAAGACTGTGCAGGAAACAAAATTGTGGTGTAAACTCCTCCACTCAGTTGGTCCAGGACAGAAACAGCCACAGCGACAGTCCGGCTGCAAGCAAGCACAGAGCAGCCGGCGTCTGAGCAGGGAGAGCAGGAAGGCTGTACAGCATCCAGCAGTACTGCCAGTGGCCTTTGGGTGGTTTTTTGTGCATGATACAGCCCTTGCACCTTTCACCCAGCTCCAAGGGCCTCCTCGTGAGCATCTCCCCAAAATGAATCGCTGCTCTGACCGTGCAGTGTCAGTCCTGAGGCTTTGTCTGCTGTGCGCTTCGCTTCTGCCTTCGCTGATCGGTACGTCCCCTCCAGCTCTGAGAACCCCGCGCTCTCTGCCCGAGCCTTTAGGGTCGCCCAGCCCCGGTGGGCCTCGGGTGTGTCTGTTCGTGGATGCAGCGGGCAGGGAGCTCTCTCGCTCTCGGCAGCGCAGGCTGGAGAAGACAGCGGTGCTTTACGCTGCTGAAGGTCTTTGGCAGGATTACCACCTTTCAGGGGTATGATTTTTGTGCCATGAGATGGGCAGGTTGCTGAAAGGAGTCTGAATGCCCCTGAGCGGTGTAAATGTCTTCTGTGCAGGATGTGGGTAGAGGAGTTGGGGAAAAGCTCCTGGAGTGAGATCCCTGGCGTATGCTGTGTCTGTGAGGCTGAAGGACTTCTACTTGCTGTCTTTCCAGCACACGGACTTCAAATTTCAGATCTGAAGGCAAAGAATTTTTTTCAGTGATTCTTTAGTGTGATAAGAAGGGTTGGAATATACAGTTTTAAAATCCCCTGCTTTTTCAATGTAATTTTTCTTTTTTTTAAGAAGAGGATGCACTGACAATTATATTCTTACTGTTTCTGTCCACAGCTGCCATCTGTTTAATCCAGACATTACTCTCTGAGTCACACAAGGTTAGGCAAGGTGTTTGAAGAGTGTTTCCCAAGGTCCTTATCAGTTGTTTTATTTTTCAGCTATAACCATGGAGAACCTGCCTAATGCCAACAGCAGATTTGCACTTGATCTGCTCAGAAGGTTTAGTGAGGCCAACCCAACAGGAAATGTTTTCTTCTCTCCTGTCAGTGTCTCTGCTGCTCTGGCCATGGTGCTTTTGGGGGCCAAAGGTAACACAGAGGCCCAGGTGCTGAAGGTTAGTAAAAAACAAATAAAATCATTTCATATTATATATTATTTACATTAGAAACGCTTGTGTTTTAGAGGAGGAGAGGTGAAAAGAGGGCATTATTTTTATGTGCCCATGACAAGATTTCTTTCACTCACGCTGAGTCTTCCTCAGATTAATTTCTGCAGTTAGCTATCTTCTGCCTGCCCTGCTCCAGAGCCCTCTCTCTATATCTTCTATGGCCCTTGTTGCTCATTTAATTTCACTTGTTATTTCTTGAAGTAGGAAAGTAATTACATTAATCAGTCTCCTTTTAAATTGATCAGAATTTCCAGCAGCAAGGCCTTATGAGAGATTTTGACAAACTATTACTTTATCACAAAAGGTCACTAGTAGTATTCTCATTGCTAAAAATACTGTGTATTTTGTAAAATACAAAATTGTAAAATATAGTTTTATATTTAAAGTGTAACAACTATGATGATACATGGTGATGCTACCGAAGTATCGATATCTTAGTCAGCTAGGCACTAAGATATCTCAGAGGAGCTAAGCCTGCATGGTTATCCTTATCATAGCCTTAGATTAGGTAGGATAGTTTAAAAAAAACTTCCTTATACAGTGAAAAGTGGTGCACATAGTGTTTCTGGCATGGAAAAGGAACTTCCTCACTATTATTTTTTGCACTTCTGTTAGGGTAACGCCTGTAAAAGGGCGTATGAGACTTTTCATTGCAGTCATCATTGCCTATGAATAATTTCACCTTTGTATTCTGGACTTTAGCAGGAACTGTTTTATGCTGTTGAGTGTTGCTGTGCTTACTCAACAAGACAATAAAATTACTTTCTAGCTCCTTGTTCAAACAGACTTGAAACGTATTTCACATAATCAGACTGACAGCCCCACCTAGGATAAACCTACTGACAGCAAAAATCATGCAAAAGGAACTTGGGGGGAAATAAATGTGTTTCAACTCAGTCACCCTCAGTAGGGCATGTTCCTGTACCATAATACTTTACTTATGAACACAGTGCTAATTAAGGAGGCAGTGATTAGTAACTGTTGAGGGCTGTTTGCAAGCATACAGAAGTTTGTTTCTGTGATCATATCTTTATTGTAAGTTGCCTACATGATGTGTTTGCTCAGCCATTCATCTGTGC